GAATTTTAAAAGTGGCCTTCTGATTACAAACCTGGTGTTCTTTCCACTGTATCATTCAGTACGGTGGTAGAAATAACAATAACAATAATTAATAATAAATTACAGCAACTCATGTCTATAGAGCATGAAGGTTTACATAACAGACCTCTGGGGGAAACAACCCTGTAATGTAGGTAGTACAAATAGTATTCTACACATCTTACAGATGAGGGAGTTGAAGCAAAAAAAAAAAAAAAAGATTAAGCAACTTGGGTGTGGTCCCACAGGTACTAAGTACCAGAGTCAGTATTCAGATACTAGCCTCTGGATTTCAAGATAAGTTTTCTTCCTAATTTACTATGCTCAGCCATCCTACTCTTTTCCCTGCTGTGCGGTACACCTTAGCTTTTGTGTGTCCATCTCCCAGGTCCCTGAACACAAGCTGAATTGAAAATGAATATAGACTTTCTGCAATTCCTACTGCATTTCAAGGCATTCGAACCAAGGGATTCTTTGATTTCCCAGTTTCCCTAGTGCCTTGCTAACCTTCAGGGCACTCTGTTTTCCCTCAGCCTTTGGTTGGAATAAAGTAACAGCAGCAAAATATTAGGTCTTGTACACTTCCCCCATTCTGCTCTAAAAAGATAATTTCCTCCTGACAAGAGCTTTGCCAGAAAAATGATTTGTTAAAACAGAGCACAATATGTTACTGGATATATGCCACGAAGCATCAATCATTACTATGCCATCTCCATTATTAAGGGGAAGATTTCAAGGCATCTGTCCAAAGACTAAATAGAGACAGCACTTTAACTTAAAGCCCAGGCATGCAGTTCAAAAGCTTTCATGCCCTTTTGTCTTTCTTTCCAGTACTAACCATTATAATATTAATTTTTCCTATATTCCAAAGCTCCCAATGTATCCAAAATTGACATGAATGACAAGCATACCGTGGAAGTGAAGTCAACTTTTGCTCAATAAACTTTAAAGGGAACAAAAGGTGTCAAATGCAAGTGCAATTTTAAATTTTAATGAACACCAAACTTTTAGTCAATTTCATTCATATTCTACACATGAGATTTTACTACATATTTTTCCAATTCATGACCTCTTTTCAAAAAAGAAAAAGTAAGGTTTTGAAAAAAACATGAAAGCAATTTTCTCTCATTTGTTCTCAAAATTGGCCAAATAGAACACTGATTTAAATTTGTCCAATACTTATATCATCTTTTCTTACTAACCATTTATTCAAAAGAGGTTTTTAAAGGGATTCCTTTGTAATACATTATAAGGATACTTTGAATAAGCTTATAATTGAATAAAAATTATTTATACTAAAGCCAATCACCTCATTAGTATGTATTTATTCCTTGTGGATTTTGATTTTTTTACTGAACTTTGATATCAAAGTTTTCAACACATCATCTATAGCTGACTTTTAATGAAATGACTAACTCTGTGATAATTAAGTAGTAGTTTTCCTGCTGATGACTTCAAAGGTATAAATCTCTTATTACGTCACTTCTCATGTTGTTAGTATAAAGGACTTTAATTAAAACTATTAATAAAGAAAAGATCCATTGTAAGGATATTTTTTGCTGTATTACCTAAATGCAAGCTTGGTTGATGACATAGTATAAAGCTCTTTAAGTTCTTATAAATATAAATACTGAGAACCCATAAATCATCAAACAGTTGAAAAGGCACCATTTATGGTTGAAAGAGCATTGAACTTTAAGTCAAAAGACTTAATCCTAAATCTTGAATATTACACTTAATTGTTCTATGGTTTAAACAAGTCACTTAATTGCTCTGAGCTAATTTTCCCAATCAGTAAAACAGAAAATGAAAAATCTTGAATATACCTCATTATTTTGTTGTATAGCTCAAAAAACACTTGAATATGTTATTTATTGAGTTTCTACTACATTCTCAAATTATGTTAAGTGGTCCAGGGTTAAAAACAAAAAGAATATGATCCTCAAAGATACAATAACCAAGTTGAGGAGGCAATATCCAACACACAAAAAACAATTATCTGAACACAAATACGGGGTTGTGCAGTACTGGCAATTATCACAACTAAAGTTCTAAGAAAGGCAAGATTATAGCAGGCTGGAATAGTTAAAGGAAGCTCCATCAAAAAACATGAGCATTGAAGTGGTCTTGAAGAATGAGTAGAAATTGGAAAGGAAGAAGAAAAAGGATGCCTACTCCAGGAAGGGTGAGTAGCATGTGTAGAAAAGCATGAGACTAATGTGACCTAATGTGGACAGGGTAGGAAAGGAGACTAAACAGAGCAAAGGATATGTTTGGAGAACAGTAGGAAATAAAAGTTTTAATATATTGCTGTAGCATAGGCTAAATTACATAATAGTAACAAAGATGGGGGGGGGATTTGAGAACAATTTAGAATAAAATGTTAATTGTGCAGTAAAAGCAGTAAGTACAAAAGAAGATCAAAGAAGAGAACTGTGAATTTGCACTGGTGTTATCAGCAAACATTTCCCAGAGGTCAGACCTGGCCTTGAATGATGGACAAGACACAATTAAGCAAAGAAAAAGACAAATGACATTTCAGGTTTAGGGGCGGGCGGAGAAAAGCAAAGGAATAGAGATGGAGTCAGCATGATTTGTGGGGCATAATAAGGAATGTAGGCTGAATAGAGTGAGGGGTATATGTTAAGAAATGATGTACATAAGTTTGATTAGGAAAAGTAGGGCCATATTAAGGAAAAAAACTTGAAAACTAGACAGAGGAATTTATAACTGACATTACATACAATAGAGATCCATCATTGCTTCTTAAGCAGGAAAGTAATACATTACTCGTGATAGGTTTCAGGAAAATTAATATGCTATCATAGTACATCATGAGTTGAAAGACGTAAGAGGTGGGAAAGAAAGACCAAGTAGGGGAAGTTGCTGTAACCAAGGAATAGAGTAATAAGGGCTTTTAAAATGCTGATGGTTTGGGGCAGCTAGGTGGTGCAGTGGATAGAGCACCAGCCCTGAAGTCAGGAGGACCTGAGTTCAAATCCGGCCTCAGACCAAACACTTGACACTTACTAGTTGTGTGATCCTGGGCAAGTCACTTAACCTCAGTTGCCTAAAAATTTTAAAAAAATGGTGATGATTCTTTGGTGGTAATAGAAAGGAAAAAATCTGATAGACAATGTAAAAGAAGAATAGAACTTGGTGACTGGTCTTTATGTGTAAAAAAAAAATAGCAGGAGGAAGGAGTACATATAACTTTAAATATTTAACCTGAAGACAGTAGAAGGATGATAGCGTTAATAAAACTAGGCTTTATGAAAATGGAATATGATTTGCCTGGGTGATAATGAGTTTGGTTTTAGAAATGTTGAGTGGATTGTCTTGAAAACAGTTAGAAAAATCAAGCTAATGTTTGAAATAAGAGTTGGAGCTAGATTTCAAAAAACTGGAAATGCTGAAATCTAGAATTCACTGATATCAATGTTGGTCAAATGATCTTAGTGTAACAGAGAGAGATTTTAATTATTAGCCAAGTAGCTGTCATCTATATCAGCTAGTCTTTGAAAGCACCTTGACATGAAGAGAAGAGACATTTCATGGAGATGAAATGAATTTTCTATAGACTGTTATTAGTATAAGATTCTTATTAAAAAACTTTTATAAATTATTCACAAAGCCAAAAGAAAGGAACTAGTTGATGGGAGAAATGGAGCAGCAAGAAAGAAGTATGCAAATAATTTAATTGAAACATTGTCAGGGCCCCAAAGTAAATAGTTCTCACACAATTATTCTTACAAATAATCCCTTTCCATAAGGAGATCTGAGATCATCATTTGAGTGTAGCTGAATCATTTCAAAATCTAATCAAATCAAAAATAATTCATGGTAAATTTTGAGTTGACTTTCACCAGCTGCCCAATAGGCTTCTGGGCTTCATAATAATTTGAATATTGAGGAAGGCCAGTCATAAGCTTTAACTCAACCATGACAAAATAAAATGGCCAATTTGGATGATTCACAGATACAAAGTTAATTCAATAATAAAATCACTCAAACCGACTGCTTAATAAAATTGACTGATCAATTCGGCCAAAATGATTGAACCAGTAGTCCAGTGCAGACACTTCTGTAATCAGAAAAGTAAACATGTTGCTTTTAAAAAAAACAAGGAATTGCAACCTTTCTATGAATTTACTACAAGAGTATCCATGTATCTATCCATCCCTTTAGCACAGGTAACTGAGAGATGATTTGACATGAAAGTTTTGGTCTGGATCTTGTAATTGATCTCTAATTTCTGGCCATTCTGGACATGCTCATGGTGAAATACTATATTTGTTATCTTGGCTCCTCAGAAATATTTTGTGGTTTTTAATATCTGTCGCTTTCTCTTATCACAAGTGAAAAGCTTAATTTCTCTGATGATGATCATATTAGAGATATCTGTTTTCTGGGACTATATTGACTACATCATTCATAAAGATCAACTCCTAGCTCCATTGGGTCTTGCTATGAAACCAAGTATCACCTGGGATTTAAGTAAAGGGCACTGACCAGCTGTAAATGAAGCACTTGTTCAATGAACTAGTAAGAACTAAGCTGGCCTTTTGAGAAACCTATATTCCAGCAGAGGCATGGTGGGACAAATTGGAAGGGCATCAGTCTTAAGGTAATTTGTCCAGTTAGTTAGAAACATAACTTCTGAAATGCTGCTACAACAAATTCCAGCTTGAAAACCAGCACCTCAAAGAGAAGTTTTCATGATTTAATTAATCTGATGGAAAGGCTTACACCAATTTTTTCCCCTAACCAGTCTAATTTAAGAATTTGCTAAATATAAAATTACAATTATGCAACAACCAAAATGTAGCTTTAGCCTCAATCCCATGTATCCCAAAGGAGATAATTTAATATTTTTCTTCTGAAGAAAAAAACTTCCAGGGATCATATAAAACATGACAAGTACAATCTTTGGTAGAACTCTTCCTCCCCATTCCCTTCCCTAAAGAAAATCACAAACATACCTGCTCTTGTGGCCATTTCTGTCTCTCTTCTGGTGTCCTAGCCTTGGTTTTAAAGCCCCTTTGTGCATCTCCAGCATGTTTTGAAGTAGGGGGAAGATTCAGTGATTTGGGCCTTCCTTCATGCCTGCTGGCACAGTGATCCACCTCTTCTTGTGAACATGTTTCTTTATAGTCATTTGGCACATTCTCCATTCCAACATGTTCTGGGCTCATTTCCCCTGTACTGTTGATACTGCTCATACTCATACTCATCTTGATCTCTGCTACGATCTGGTCAATGTCCTCCTCCTGTTCTTCCAGATCAGCATCCTCTTTTCTTAAGTGATAAGGAGATGTCCCACCTGAGTTTCCATTGGCTTCTGCTGGATAATAGTCCTGGTAACTTTCTTCACTTGGACAATATTGTACACTTCCCTCCTGGTCTTGGATCTCCAAAGAAGATACCTCATCTTCCAGAATCTGAACATGGCTTTCTGGGTACTCCTGCCTGTCTTCTGCATCATTTTCATCATGGTGCTGAATTTTAGATTCAGTCCATTCTTCAACAGCCTCCTGGCATTCATCGGTTTCAACAGTATGCTCATCATGGGGAATATACTCTTCCCCATTGCAGTCCATTCCTTCCAGGTAACTATCATCTTCAGGACAGTATCTAATGTAATATGTGATTCCCTCCTCTTCTTCTGGAAGGCCTTCATCATAGTCTTCCTCTTCTGAGGTATTATTCACATAGTCAGAGCTGGAGTCTCCATCCCCACTGTTATCATTACACTCATGTTCCACTGGGGTGGGGCTTCCCTGCCTGATGGTGGCCAGCTCTACATCCTTTGCAGCATACTCTTCAAGTGAAAGGTCTGTTTCCTCACTCTTGGACTCTTTATTGTGAGAGGAAGTTGGGCAAGACCTCACTCTATGATCCAACATGTTGCTTGTGGTGCTCTGATGTTTCCTATTGGCCATAGCTGATTTCTTACACAGCAATCATTTCGAAGTAGTCACTATAAAGAAGAAATTTTAGAAAGAAGATATGCTCAGAAAAAAGTTCAATTGGAATAATAAATTAAAATAAGATTGAACATTAGCTACAATCTTCACTTCAGGAAAGGTTTATATTATTACTATTTTAAAGCAACCGTTCAATTTGGCCTAAATATTCCTATCAAAAATTCTACCATACATAATCATTACACAAAAAATGTATAATAAAATCATAGAATAAGGACATTTGATTTCAAAAAGCATAGTGTCTGCCACATAGTGTATGTTTAATAAATGCTTGTTGCCTTTGCTTAAAAAAAAATAGAAATTTTAGTTTCAGAAGACACAACGAGAGTTATATAATTAATTATAACCCCTTCCCATAGTGTATAGTACAACTAAACTGATTTTTTCTTAGTTCTTTCTGAGACCCTCCCATCTCCTGACACCATGCCTCTGGCCTTGCCCTCCCCCATGCTTGTGATGTGCTCCATCTCACTTGTACACCATAGAATCTCTTACTTCCTTCAACATTTAGCTCAGACACCAACTTCTATATGCCGTTTTTGCTCTTCCCAGCTGCTAGTACTCTCCCTTGTTAACTATCCTGTATTTATGTTGTATTTGTAAGTGCCCTCTTGCTTGAGAGAAGGGGCTGGCACTTTTTTGTTTTTGCATCCCTTGTACCTAATACAGTGCTTAATATGTACTTTAAAACACTTCTTAATTGACTGATATAAACTCATACAGATTTAAATCTGTTCATCTATTTATTTCTCTCCACCGCTCTCTGATCTCCCATAGTATTTATTCCTCATGCTATTCATTTACTGCTTATCTGATAATGTTTTATATTAGTTGACACATAATGATACCATCTTTTTATATAATTGTCTCATCCCCTCCCCCATTAAATCACAAATTCTGTGTCATAGGTCTTTAAATCCTTCAACGTTCCTTGTATAGAGTAGGCACTCAATAAATTTTTCACTGATATATTTATATTTATTGATATATTTATATAACTTTTCTATGGATGGTCAGAGTTGTATTATCATCAATATTCCCAAAAGAATCATGAAGAAAATATTTGATTTGTTTCATTTCATTATATATACATATTTGCCTATTTAATTAGGCTCTTCTAGTGCACAAGTGATCCTCAGAGTAAATTTGACATCTTCAGAAGCTATGTTCACTCTGTCATAAGGTAGTTTCTAGCTCTAAAATTCTGTTGTAGCTCACTGCTTAATTTCCTTCTGATGTCTGACCTGACCAGAATGCCATGGTAGGCCTTCAGGAGTAGGGCAGTATACTAGAGTGGAAAAAATGCTGGATTTAGAATCTTAGGTCAGTGTCAGTGGGGAAGAAGGTCTCCACTGAAATGCTCCTGGCTCTGTGAATGTCCTTGGCCTTGTGCTATTTTTGTCAATGATATGAATGAAAGAATATGGATGAAGGAATGGCATCTCTATCACATTTATAGATAATACAAAGCTGGGAGAAATAACTAACATTTTGGATGACAGATTCAGGATTCAAAATGATTTCATATAGTTAATTGTTAACTAGTTGATCATCTGAAAAAGATTAAGTCAAATAAGAATAAATGTAAAGTTTTATACTTGGGTTCAAATAATCAACTTCATACCTATAAGATGGGGAGATATGGGTAGAAAACATGAAAAATATCTGAAGTTTTAGTAGACTGCAAGTTTAATGTCACAGAACAACGTGGAAACCAAGACAGCCACACTAGTATATGTTGCATCAAGAGAACACAGGGTCCGGAATGAAGGGGGTATAGTCCTATTCAATTATGCTTCCGCTGAATTGAAGCCAACCATATCTTCAGTGTTATGTTCACTTCTAGGAAGGATATTAATAAACTAGAGAGGGGCCAGAGACTATGTTATTCAGGGACAGGCTGAAGGAACTATGTAAACAGTCTGCCAAAAGAAAGATTTAGACAAGGAGATTATGGTTGTCTGTAAATATCTGATAGCTGTCACATGGAAGAGAGAAATAACAGTATTTACTGTGCTTCCTTACAAAGGTAAGAACTAATAGAAGGGATGTAAATTGCAGAGCCAGATTCAGGCTAAATGTAAAGAAAATCTTCCAAATAATTAGAGCTATACAGAAATGAAACTGGCTGCTTAGGAAGAGTAGATTCACCCTCACTATAGGAATTAGAGTAAAGGCTAGATGACCACTTCTCAAGGATGTCGTAAAGGCAACTATTCTACAAATTCAACAAGATGGTGGCCTATGAGAATTTATGGTTTGTGACCTAGATTCAAATTCCAACTCTGATACTTATTAGCTATGTAAGCTTGGACAAATAACTTTCTGGAACTCAGTCTCCTTGTTTGTAAAATGAAAGGGTTGGACTAAATGATCTCCCAGGTCCCTTACAGTTCTAGATCCTATGAATACATCATAAGGTAGCATAATAAAGTCACAAGTTGTCCTTGAAACCCTAGATGCCTGAAAGTTAAATTGGTTTCTAAAGCAGTGGCATTCCTAGAGAGATGCTCCACCAAATAGCATCCTGTAGGCCTGAGAGTTCTCCTAAATGTGCCAAGTTATCTTTACTCTCAAAGTCCATAAGAGAGACTGGACACATTATGAGGAGAGTCTCCTGGGAAAAAAATAGATGTTCCAAGCACACTAAAAACAACAGAAAACTAAAGCATGTGAATTGAAATCACTAATCTCATTTACGGAATATGAACAAAAAGATATGTGGTTTCTAAAGAAAGTTTAAAAATTGCAATCCTTGTGTCGCTGTCCAGCAGAATCTTTGAGCCTTCACTATAACATTTACAACTTGAATATATGTTGGGGAAGGGGGGAAAGAGACAGAGACAGAGACAGAGACAGAGAGAAGTATATATGTGTGTATGTCTGTGTATAAACAGACACACACAAACACACACACATATATGTGTATGTATATATTGTGAAAAATAATTCTCAGAGTTTTCCCCACCCCCACCCTCTTCTCTAAAGTTCTTCACAAGGACATTACTGATAATGAGATTGCATTGAGTCTTATCCTGGTCAAACTCCAACCCAGGCCTGAATTGAATTAATCTGCTCAGACATGGAGACAGAGTCTTCTGCCTAAATAGCCCAAGTCTGAGAGTGGTCTAGTTGGAGGGTGGTGTGATAGAGCTGTATTTCCTCTGTCCAGAGGTACAATGATGGCTAGATGATATCAGCCCCTGTTGAAAAGGTATTGTACCAGAATTAAGTGACCTAAATCATGAACTTGAAGACCCTCATTTTAATATAGCCCACCTCCAAGTGTGTTGACCATTGACTGGCACCCCTTGGGAACACCTACTCTTCAAAGGGCATATAACCCTATACCCCCAAATCCCAAATTGAGCCAGTTCTGGACTATAACTCCAATGCAATGCATGTCAAGCCACCTTGAGAGAAATTAAAACATAAACACACACCCCAATTTTGTTTGTCTCTTTCTTAGAACAAACTGTTTTGAGGGTTAATAACATATGTGTGTGTATAGATATAGATATAGATAATATACATCCCACTGAGAAGTTATTATTGTTCTATTATATTAATAACCAATTGTTAGATTAGGATTAAGGCTTTTTTCCCCCTTTGTTTCTTCATTCCTGGACCAACCTCTGTAAGTCAGCTTCTGAAGGACACTGCTAATAGATGAGACTGACCAGATCCTCCTGAAACAGGTTTCTGGATCTTGGGCAGGACCCCACCCACCTAGAAGACCTTACTTCCATTTAGAATCTACTCTAGGTGAATTTCAGAGCTAAAGCATTAAGTCTATGACCTTGCAGACCAACCTCGATTCTCCACTGTGGTTTAGGGCAACTCAGCTCACGAAGGAAAAAACTAACCACTGTGGTCTGGATAGAGATGGATTCCTTTGTCCAGACTGCTGGAGGTGGCTGAGTCTCATGATCAAGCCATGTTCTCAACAAGAGGAGCTGAAGGCTTTCAGCCCACCTCCTCATTTGAAAGTCTACTCCCTCATTAATTTTTCACCAATCAGGGTTGATTTTCACCTATCAGGGGCATTCCCTTTTCCAAAGGTAGATAAGCATTCAGCGATTTCCTTGGTTTTGTGTTTGGTTACCAAGAGAAACCACTGACTATCAACTTATTGATTAACATCTAGCCTAATTAATAAATTGATTCTTGATCACCCAGAAACTCCGTCTCTCCAGCTTTTCATTCATCTCACCATGAAGAAGAGAACTTTCTAGAATTTAAAGTATACATTTTAAAAGTGGTACGAAAAAGAGACCATCACTTCTTCCTGTGTGTTACATTGTAGGCAACTATGTACCTTGCCTATCTCTCTAATTCTGCCTCAACCAAAAGGATTCATTTTTTTTATAAGGGACAATTTGTTTACCACTAGTCACCAAGAACATGTTTTTCAATGCTTTAGGAAATCTGTCAAGAGCATCAAAAAAAATGTATCCAATAACAATATTAAAATGTTACCTCAAGTCTGTTGAATTCCATGGTTAACATGCTTGTTTTACAAAACTTGAATACTATTATTCAGGATTACAAACAATGAATGTAGTTAATTACAGATGAACACAGCCTCTATTCAAGATCTAAAAAGATCCTTCAGAGCAGAGACAATGTCTTATACATTTTTTTAATCACCTCAGTGTCCAACATACAATAGACATTCAATGCCTGTTTGTTGGATGAAAGAAACTCTGACTTTCATTCACATGGGCAACTAATTGCTACAGGGGATAGAGCTCTGGACCTGGATTCAGAAAGAGGAGTTCTAATCCTGCCTCAGACACTCACTAACAATGTCATCCTAGGCAAGTAAATTAACCTATGTCTGCTTCAGTTTCCTCATCTACAAAGGGAATACTAATAGTATGTACCTCCCATGGTTGTCATGGGGATAAAATGAGAATTTTTGTAAAGCACTTTGTAAACTTTAAAGTGATAGA